GGAGAACTCATGGAAATATAAGATTCTTTCAAAGGAATGATTTTTATATAAAGAATTTTGCTTTCGAGTGTAAATGTTGCAATGGAGTTTGCTTGCACATTAGGTTGGTAAATTACTCTGCATGCCTTTCTATTTGTTGTAATTTATAACCATTAATAATTGATCTAAGTTTTTATAAATCTATTTAGAAACGAAGTTTTCTTTTCTTGAAAAGGTCTAGGAGACAATAAAGAAAAATTTCTCTAACATCATGTAAATGTGATGCAATGTAAACAATTAATTATTATTATTATTTTAATAAGGAACCCTTCCAAAGTAGGATCACACTAAATCAATTCTAAATTTTAAATACTTATAACCATTCACAAGTTACAGAATCGAGTAAATCAAAGTGTTGTGAGTGAGACTCGAGCTGAGGACTCTCAAATTTGTGATCTGTTCGAATGACAATTTTAGGCTAGCTACTTTTTTCAACTTGGTCTAATTACATTCTTCTTCTTAGATGCTTGAAAAGTTGTTCAAAATTAATTTCACATACTAATGAGACTTGGGATCTGAATCATTTTTGCATATAAACCAAAAACACCATGCAAGGATTTGTAACTCATATTTTCTCTTATTATTGAAATTGTCACAAAATTTACATGATATTATAGAATTAATAAGATGAACACCAATTATGGATTTAGATGGAAAGAACCTTAGGGCTTTTAAAGAATCTTAGAATCTTAGGACTATTATAATTAGCCTAGTCTAGCTGGCCACCATGCCTTCCTTTGGGCTTAGTTCCAAGGAGGTCATGGGTTCAATTTCCCTTAGGGGGGTTGAATTAAGGGAGTGCTAGCATTTAGGTGCTTTGCCAAGGATGGGGAAATCTTCTCCCATAAGTGCTAAACTAACAACTAACATTTGCTGATAAAAAAAAAAAAAAAGAGATGGAAATAATCTTTTTTTTTCTTATTTTATGTCTCCTTAATTTTCTTCTTCTTCTTTTTTTTTTTCTTTTTTTTTTTACTGTTTATAACTATTATTGAATTATTATACTTGAAAAAAAAAATCATACCTCAACCGATAATATTTCATGAATGACAAAAAAAAAAAAAAAAACTCACATGCAACGCAGTGCATTACCGCCAGTAATAGTATAGATGTGGCAACTTGGGTTGGTTGGCTTTTTTGGACTAAACTAGCCAATAAAGACAAAATGTTCTAAAATAGTTAAAAAGGCAAAATGTCACATTCAAACTATAATCATTTCACTTTTTATCTTACAACCATCAAATCAACTACTCCCTCAAACTATATTAGTCCTTTTTGAGAAATGTAAACTTTTTTTTATAATACAATTATTACCTTTCGAAAATTACCCTTTGACTTTTTAAAAAAAAATATCAATTGCTATAATTAATGAATTTCAAAGAATGAAATTTTTGAAAATTCATGCTATTTTAGTCCTTATTTTTTGAAAATTGACTAATATTTTGAAACAATGAAAAATGGAATTAGAGACTAATATTTTGGAACAGAGGCAGTAAAAAAAAAAAAAAAGAGGCAACTATCATCCCAAACACAATTTTTTTAGTTAGACTAAAATAATCAAAACGTCAATTAAAATGGTCAAGTTCCCAAACGAGCCCCCAGATTAGGTGCATTTAAAAAACAAAAAAAAATTCTTAAGCATTAAAAAATTACTAAAAATATAAAATATAAGATATAAAAAATTAAAAAAATTAAAAAACTCAACTTTTAGAAAAATCAATGTTAACTAAACAATTTTTTTGGTAAAGGGTTTTACTTTTTTCCAAATGTTATTATCTTAAACTGTGCTTGGTTAGGAGATTTGGAAAGAGATTTAAAAAGAGAAAAGAAAAATGTATGTGAAACTAAGTAAAATGTAAATATATTTTAGGAAGACTTATGTATAGGTCCTATAATAATTAATGACATTTTTCATCATACACTATTAAAAAAATATCATTGATTGTTAATTTTCAGCGACAGTTTGAAAATTGTGTCACAAAAAAGGCACTAATTATAAGTTTTAGTGACACTTTAAAAAATCATCACAAAAAAGTAGCTAATTTTTAAATTTCAGCGACAGTCTGCAAAATTCGTCACAGAAAAACGTCACTAATTGTAAGTTTTAGCGATAATTTATAAAAATCATGACAAAAAAGTCTCTAATTGTCAATTTTTAACGACAAATGCAAAAAAATGTCACTAAAAAATATTTTTAACGATGATTGTACAAACGACAAATGCAAAAAAATGTCACTAAAAAATATTTTTAACGATGATTGTACAAGGACTTATTTTCAATAAAATTTGATAAAAATTAAGCCTAACTATTAGAACCTATTAATAATTTATCCTCTATTTTTATTCATATTTTACTTACATTTCTTTTTCCCTTCATATTTTGGATGTAATGGATCCAATTATAATTACTTTGAATTTTCCCATTGCGCTACATTGCGGGAAACATTACTTGAAATAGACAACCGCTGAAAAGTGCACTATAGGAAGCTGGTCTCACTGATGCCCCCAACAACCTTCAAACACATGTCAAGTCACCCATCCTTAATGCCAACTTCTGAAATTGCCATTTTAGTCTTCTAGTGTGCAATATTTATAAGAAACATGGTTGTAAACATTAAGGAATAATAGTGTAAATAATTGATTTAACTTATTGTCCTTTTTTTTTCTTTTTTTTTTTATTATTTTTTTTAAATAAGTAAGTCATATTATAACCAAAAAAAAAAAAGAATGATATACAATAAAATTTAATACATATTTTTTGTAGGGAGCACAAAAATAAACAAAAACAAATTACTCCTATCAAAAGAAACAAAACTAAGCTTACAGAAGGTTAAATAACATTCACAACAAAAATGACTCAAAACTTTCCTCTAGCACTCTTCAAATTATGAAGTCTCGCTTTGAGTTTTCTTCTAATTATCCTTCTTTGTAGTCTCTTCATTACTAGAGCCCCTTGGAGATAGACTCCCTCTATTTTTTAGGATTTTCATTTGGCACAACAATTCTTGACTTAATTTGCCATTCCCTAACTCTCCCATATCACATGATTCAAGGATATTAAAGGCATTAGATGTTGAGGGGGGCGAAATACTGTCTCTTTCTCTCTTTGTTTATCTCTGTTGTTGAACCTTGCACACCATCTCTTCCCTTTTTCTTCACCACTTCCCAATTAATCAGAATTTGTATTTTAGTCTTCTTGACTATCCACTCTTGTTTGAAAGATGGATGATTCAAAATCTTTAGTTTTTGAGGGCACAAATTAGTGGTATGACCAAATGTCTTACAAACATCACACCTTTGAGGCTTCCATGGAATCTCAACTTGAATCTCATATGGGTTATCATAAATAAGATTTATTTTAAAAAACTAAGGGATTTCTTTATTTGCTAGCATTTCAATACATATTATCATAAACGTAAGTCTGCGTCTCTTGAAAGTAGACTCATCCAAATAAAGAGGAGTTCCCATGATGTTAGTAATGTAACCCAAACACTATTCAGTCCAAAACTCCAAAGGAACATTATACAACTTCACCCATAACGGCACACTGTCTACCTACTACCTACACCACTTTCAACTACCCCAGCGCCGATCTCCACCAACAACCTCATCTCTTATTATCAATTTCGACAACTTCTTATATATTGTTATTATTATTATTATTATTATTTTATATTTTGAATATATTTGTGCATACCAAACAAGTTTTTTGCTTTTATTTTTTAAAAAATACTTCTTGTTTCAAGTCTACAAAAAATAAAAAATTAATAATGTTATCAAATACTAATCTGCCATAAAAGCTATATTATATAAGAATGATTTGTTAGGTAGTGTGGATCTTGATGAATCCAGAATTATCGCTATGAGAGTATGAAAATATGTTTGGGATGTAAATCATTATTAATAAAATAAACCATTTATTATGAAATTAAAAACTTCAAAAGCGGAATATAATTTTTAAAATTATAGACGAAAAATCATATTTTAAGCACTCAAGAGTGTGTTTGTAATTTCCCCCAAAAACAAACTAACTTCCTGCCAAAGAACATTTTGCACAATTAGACTGTGTTTGGATTTTTTTTTTTCTCCTATTTCTCTGGCTTGTGAATAACGTCAGGGTTCACAGGTTCAAAAACTTCGGTTGTTTTTCTTGTGATAAAAATTTGATATCTGGGGCGTTGATGTGGTGGCCCAGCATTGCAATGGTTGAAATCGGAGTACGAGGAAAGATTGAACATCAAATTTGTGGCATGCATACCATGTTAGGATTAGACACACCCAGAAATCAATCAACAAATAATAACGCACAACATTTACGTAGTTCGGCAATTGCCTACGTCCACAAAGAGATTTTCATATAGGCTTACTCACTCTCTCTAATTGCATACACTCTGTATTGTTCTGACTCACCCCTTTCTCCTCAACTCAATTTATCGTACACAAAAGAGAGGGAAACAAAGTCAAGAAAGAGAGCCAACTACTCCCGTCCTTTTGGTGGACATTTTTGACAAGAAGAAGAAAGTGAGATGGTATTCCACCTGCTTCCTCCTACTCCTTGACTTGGAGACAGCCTTTAACAACTTCTCCATGTGGGCAGGAGCTAACAATCTGTTTGTTAAATTGTTTATATGTAGAGGTCAGTACATTGGGTTATTTTGAGTTGTTATTAGAGTTTTTGGGAGTTTTGCATATATGTGGTTGGGTGTTTTGTTGGGTTGTGGTGCATATGGTTGTTGTTATGTTCTGCTTCATTTTTTTCTAATAAAAGTTGTTCTTTTTGCTGATCAATCAAAAAAAATTAAAGATGATGAAAGACTGGTCTGTGTAATTTATGTGATTGTAACTTGTAACTACTGCTGTCTCATTTGTGGTTCAATATGATGTCACGATTAAGATGCAAATATGATTTAGATAAGAATTATATGCCTGTGGATTTCCAAGACTTTTCGACTTCCAAGTCCAACTGAACGGTAAAAAGTTAATAACCATACAAAAGTCCAGCTGAAGACATACTGTGCTGTTCGAGTTCTTGACCATTTATTTATAAAAACAGATGAATTTCATGAATTCGACATTACACCATCAATGGAAGGCCTCAAAATACCTTTCTTGTTTTCCTCTTTATTTTCCATCTTAATAATCTCCAATGCAGTAGACACCATAACCAAAACTCAATCCCTAACAGGCAACAATACCATTGTTTCATCTGGTGGGAGCTTTGAGATGGGTTTTTTCAGACCTGGCAATTCCCGGAATCAATACCTGGGAATATGGTACAAGAAAATATCTGTCAAGACTGTTGTATGGGTTGCCAACAGAGAAATCCCACTCATCAATTCATCAGGCGTCTTAACAATAATCGACCCTGGAATTCTAGTCCTCGTCAATGGTACCGGCACTGTCATTTGGTCTGTCAATGTGACAGGATCCACACAGAACCCTATTGCACATCTTATGGACTCTGGAAATCTTGTTGTGAAGGATGCCAATGATACGTCTGAGAAATTTCTGTGGCAAAGTTTTGATTATCCGTGTGATACTCAATTACCAGGCATGAAGCTTGGAAAGAACTTAGAAACAGGCCTAGAGCGCCACCTCTCCTCCTGGAAGAGCAGTGATGATCCAGCTCGAGGTGAGTTTAAATTCCAGTGTGATCCTCAAGGATACCCACAAAAAATTCTGAGCAATGGTTCTGTTGACGTGTTCCGAACTGGGCCATGGAATGATACCGGATTTGGTGGGACACCAAACGTCTTCTACACATATGGATTGGTTTACACTATGGAGGAGGTGTATTATCATTATGAACTCCAGAGCGATGTTATCTCAAGGGTTGATGTGAGTTATGATGGCCATGTGCGGCGCTGGATATGGGTTGATCTAACCCAGAAATGGGACATTTACCTGACTGCCCCAACAGACAACTGTGATAATTATAAACTATGTGGTCCTAATGGTAGCTGTAACATTGGAAGCTCACCGGCATGTGGTTGTTTGAGTAAATTTGTTCCCCAGAACCAAGCAGAATGGGGAAATGGAGATTATTCTAATGGGTGTGTTCGGAGGACACCGTTGGATTGCCATAAGGGAGATGGGTTTCTCAAGTATTCGCGATATAAAATGCCAGACACACGGAACTCCTGGTTTGACAGGAACATGGCCCTAAGGGAATGCGAGATGGAGTGCTTGAAAAACTGCTCTTGTACGGCTTACACAAATTTAAACATAGGAGGACATGGAAGCGGCTGCTTGCTTTGGTTTAATGAGTTGATTGATATGAGAAAGCTCAGTGAAGATGGGCCAGACATTTACATAAGGATGGCTTCTTCTGACTTAGGTAAGAATTCATACCAAACACATAAGACCAATGAACATAGATTAATTAGATTTTACTTTATAAGAACCATGTAGTCAACTATACTGAACATTTACATTTCTTCCTTAGAAAATTCGTCACTACAGTTTAGCAAAAAGTGAGTTGTTTCATCTTGAACATTGATTTCTATTCTTGGTGTGTCTTGAATTCGATCCTAATGATGCTTATTACCCGTCTCCATGCACATGCCCGACCCAGTAGGTCTGTTTGTATTTGAGTATATTTTGGCCTTGTTTATTATTTTTGGATCTTTATTTATATTGGATTATTATTGAGTACTAGGGGTTCTGATGATCAAAGTTTTTAAAAGCAAATGCATAACGCGAGGCATTTTTTCTCTTGTGAAACGAGACATAAGCATTTCAAATTTGAAATTTTTATATTTAAAGTAGCAAAAAATATTAAAATTAAATGTGAATGAGTAGATATTTTTTTTCCTCAAGACCTCGAACATTTCATTGTAGACAATAAGGAAACTTACCCTCATTGAAAGTGAAATCGACATCTTTAACTTTAGTTGTCAAGTTTCTCACTTGAACCTTAACTTTATTTTTCTTAATTGGTCATTTACTTGATTTTTTTCTATGAATATAGTTGCAAAAGAAGTTATTGTTTTCTTATGTTTAAACCATCTACTAGATTAAGTTTAACAAGAGCCTATGACAAGCTCTTATTATGTGTAATCCTCATATACTTGCGCATAAAAGGCATACAAGGTGCAATTGAGGTGCAGACCTTAGACTGTGATTCTAAAGTATTTAGGGAGTATCATCTACAAATCGAAGCCTCAATGCATTTCGCTCATGATTTTAAAAATGAAGTGCAATTGTTATGTAAAGTTGTTACGTAATTGTGTGGGCAGTCACTGCCACCTGTTACGGCTGCTATGGTGACAGCCATTAGTAACAATGGTGACAGGGTCAGCTACATTTAAAAGTCAATTTTTTGCTCATTTTCTTCTTTTTTTAATTTCTATGTTTATTTATTGACTCAACATTAAAGATTAAGCAGAATTTTTATATGTTATGTTACTTCTATAACTTGATAATTTTAATTTGTTCAATAAAGTAACAATGATACTCAAGTTTATTTGTTGAACGTACACAATCTACAAATTTGAAGCACAACATAACATAATATTATAAGTCTATAACTATTAATAATAAAATAAAAAACAGTAAAGTGGTGCATTATAAATTTATGACGCATAAAATCATTAAATGTTAACCAAGTGAAGTCTCTCCTAAGGTGAGGTCTTGGATTCTACTCTTGGGAGTGGAATGGGAGACAAAACTTAAAGGGCTTGTAAGGATAGGGTGGGAGTTCAACTCCCCCACGTGTTAATCTAGCTATTAACCACTTATTTTTGGTTTCAATAAGTTTGTGTCTTCTTTATTGATTGGACATTTCATACGGTGGGTAAATTGGACTCTTTACGGGAACACACAACTCTTCCACTTGAGCTTCCATGCTTGATGCAGTTTGGATGGAAGACTGAGCATCTTTTCCCCTGTTTTAAATGATTTTAATTAAATTCCTTCTGTATTAGGTCAAGCTGGCCACAACTGGAAGCCAGGAAAGTGGATTGTAGTCATCTCAGTAATCTTGACAGGAACACTTATACTTGCCTTGGGCATTTCATTGTACATTTGGAAGAAAAAGTGGCAGCCAAAGAGAGAAGGTAATAAAAAGTCATTGATGCTTCAGCATCTCACGTTTGTAGGTGTGCTTGCTTGAACATTTACCTGTTTTGAACAAGTTGTTTCATTAAAATGTTCTCGACGGCCCCCTTCTGCAGGACGAATAAGACATCATCTTGGAGAAACTTACTACAAAGAAGCCAAGAATGAAGATATAGAATTACCGTTATTTCACTTTTCTACAATCACTAAAGCTACAGAAAACTTTGCAATTAACAATAAGCTTGGAGAGGGAGGATTTGGACCTGTTTACAAGGTAAAAATATAACTACACTTCCAGTTTTCTGAAAACTAACCGATGCCCAACCACATGAACTGTTGACAGTAGACTGCCTAATTCAGTGACTGATTCAGTATTTTGCTAGAAATTTCCCATTATGTCACGCCGAATTGATAACTCTGCATTTTAAAAATTTTAAGAAGCACATGTATTTAATGGTTTTATTATCTGAGCAAGCTCCAATGAAGATGTAGAGTGACTTTCAACATAGACTTTATGCTAAGCATGGGGTAGAATCAAACATAAACATTATGCAGAAGAAAAAACACAAAGGAAAAATACAGAAAAATTGATGTGGCTTCTTTTAATGGCACCATATTGTACCTAACAAACAAAATGATTTTCAATTGTCAGGGTAGGCTAGAAGGGGGACAAGTAATTGCTGTGAAGTTGCTTTCAAAGAATTCAAAACAAGGAGTCGATGAGTTCAAGAATGAAGTCATCTGCATTGCCAAGCTTCAGCATCGGAATCTTGTAAAGCTTCTAGGATATTGCATTCAAGGAGAAGAAAGGTTGTTAATATATGAATACATGCCCAACAAGAACTTGGACTCCTTTATTTTCGGTATGGCTTTCTTAAAACCATTAGCTAGTTTCATTCTATTTCATATTGGAGCAACATTGTGACCAATGTCTCATTGTAAAAGGTGAATTACGAGGTTCATAGCCAAAAGGGAGGCACTTCTACTTTACAAACCAGTGACATTTTTGTCTTTTATGCCCCCTTCAATGGGAACCTTCTCATTTTATGAATCAAGGATGAAGGTCTTACTAATTGACCTCTTAGACTTCCTCCAATGCAAAATTATATTTTTATTTATTGCAATCATTTTGCATTTATACTCGAGAAACCATCTAGCAGCTTGGTTTAACTTGGGCAAAAAATTGGACAGATCAATCACAAAAGATGCTACTGGATTGGCCTACGCGCTTCCACATCATCAATGGAATTTCTCGGGGGCTTCTTTATCTTCATCAAGATTCCAGAGTGAGAATTATCCATAGAGATTTGAAAGGTAGCAATATTTTACTAGACGATGAGATGAATCCAAAAATATCAGACTTTGGCTTAGCCAGAATTTTTGGAGGAAATGAGACAGTAGCAAATACGAAAAGAGTGGTTGGAACATAGTAAGAATCTTCTAACCAGTTCAAAAGTTTTCCTTTTTCAACTATATAAATTTGTTAAATTTTTATTGCTTTCCTTTAGTGGGTACATGTCTCCAGAATATGCAATTGAGGGGCTATTCTCAGTAAAGTCCGATATATTTAGCTTTGGTGTTTTGATATTAGAAGTAGTGAGTGGGCAGAGAAACAGGGGATTTTGTCACCCAAGTCACGACCTCAACCTTCTTGGGCATGTAAGTATAAAGTTGAATAATTTTTCTTTTGAAAAGGAAAATCATGATCTTACAAAAAAGGGTTATATATAGAAAATTTATCTATAATGATGTAGCAATAATATCTCTAAATCCAATTATGAGCCACTTTGAAGGATATTTTATTTTAAAATAAAATGCCTCAATTCAACCGCATGATTTTGTATAAAAATTATGTACAATACTTTTAATGTTACTTTTTGAATAATTCAAATGACAGCTTGAAAGTGTGTTCTACTATTCAGGCCTGGAGATTATACAAGGAAGGCAAGGCTACAGAATTTATTGATGTACAACTACGGAACTCATGCAATCTAACTGAAGTGTTGCGTTCAATTCACGTGGGTTTATTGTGCGTTCAACAACGGCCTGAGGATAGGCCTAGCATGGAAAGTGTGGTTTGGATGTTTGGCAGAGAAGGTGCTCTGACTCATCAGCCTAAACATCCTGGTTTTTTCACTGAAAGAAATCTTCTTGAAACAGAAAGGAGAGAGATTGAACAATGTTCAGCCAATATGGTCACCATAACACAGTTAGAGGCCCGATAGAAGACAATTCTTGTTGATATGTAATTGTTATGATCCAAGCAAGACCTTTGAGTTTGTTTAGCTAATGAACATAATGTCAAAGCTGTCTTTCTTGGCAACCAGCTTCAGAAATATTGGCTTATGAACACAATGTTAAGCCCTGTTTTCTATGCTACTACAATCTGACTTACCTATGTCTTTTACTTAGTTTGGTTGCTTTTCCTTGTCTTGTGTTGGCTATTTGTAGACTATGAATGTTGTTTCACATGTGTGTATCTAAATATAAACAATGGGTAATCATATCTATTAATCCCAACAGATATTGTATTTAACACAAGGTTGTGAATACCGTAACGACTTTGGTTTTGGTTTCATTTTTATTAGTGAAAATTGACCAATAGTCCATCATTTAGAAAGTTTTGTCACAGAGGTCCAAGGAATGGTCTTTGTTAGTAATAAGTGATAGAGAAGGAACATCAACAGATCACAATCCAGCAGATCACAATGGAGTTATAGTTTAGTCTATGGTGTACTGTGTCACATGGGATCATACACTATAACAGAGTTAGTTGGAGGTGATTAGTTAGTTAGTTTGTTAAGCATTGTACCTGATATGTATATATATAGTTGTAAGTGAACTGAATGAAATAATCAAGAATATATAATATCAATAATTCTTCATGGTATCAGAGTTTTGAAGGTCCAACGAGCATATCTCCAATGGCATCATCTCCAATGATGATTCCATCGTCTTCAACTACGATTCCTTCAAATCTCAATATGCTGATCTCTAATCTGAGTTCTCTTGTGACTGTAAAACTAGCTAATACAAACTTCATCATCTGGAGCAGTCAAATGAAGAACATTCTTCGCGCTACCGATCTGCTGAAATTTGTTGATGGCTCGTATTCATGTCCAGCGGGCTGTATCCGAATTCATCTGGTTTAGAGATGTGCAATCCTGAAGCACTTCAATGGAGGATGATTGATGCACATTTGATAAGCTGCATCACAACTGTCTCACCTGTTATTTTCACCACTGTTCTTCGTCTTCGAACTAGTTCAGAAATTTGGTTTGCATTAGACAAACGATTTACAACTCTATCAAGATCACATATCCATCAGCTTAAGAAGAATTAAACTCCATCTCGAAAAATTCTGACACAATGCTCAGAAACATTAAGACTCTTGTTGATCAACTTAGCATTGCTTCTTCGTTTATTGAAGATGAAGACATCGTCCTAATTACTTTGAATGGATTACCTGCGGAATATGATTCATTCAAAACTGCAATTCGAGCAAGATCAGAGAGTATATCCATGGATGATCTTTCGTCCTTACTATGTTCAGAAGAAATTCACATTGAAGGGAAACTAAAGCAGTCCTCTGCTCTTACTGTTGCCTATGCAACAATAAAGGATTCTCAGTCATCAAAAGGTTTCACCTCTTATCACAATAATCGAGGTTCTTCTCGACATGAATCAAGAGGTTCCTACAGAGGATCATACAGATCTGGTCCAGGCCGATCTTCAAATTTCAGAGGCAGATCTTCAACTCGTGGCAGATCAGATTTGGGTTCTGTTTGTAAATCTGTGGTAAACCTAGCCACTCTGCCTCGGATTGTTGGCATCGACTGGATCTTGAATTTCAGTCTCAGTCATCCTTTTCTCCTCAATGTCACCCCCAAACTCATTCCAAAGCTTATGTTGCCTCGATGACTGATGATACTACATCTCAGAACTCTACTCCTTGGTTTCTGGATTCCGCTGCCTCTGAACATGTGACAAATGATCTTCATCGTTTAAACTCCTATCACCCTTACTCTGGTCGTGAACAAGTTACTATTGGCAATGGTGAATCTCTCCCCATTCACAACACTGGGAAAGGTATTTTGCCAACCCCACATCATTCCTTTAAACTTAACAAAGTTCTTCATGTTCCTACTATTTCATCTAATCTTCTTTCCGTACAACAATTAGCCAAAGACAACAATTGTTCTATCATTTTTGACCACTCTTCCTTTGCCATTCAGGACAAAGTTTCTAAGGCTATTCTTCACAAAGGATATCATGCCAATGGTTTATATCATTTTACTTCTTCAAATTCTGCTTTGTCTTTGCCTCCATCTACTACTGCTGCATTTTCCACTACTGGTTCATCACATCTGCTGCACTATGGTATAAAAGACTCGGGCATCCCTCTTTTTCCAAGCTCCAAACACTTAAGTCTCCTTTGTCTATTGTTTTCAATAAAAATGACTTGAGTTGTATTGATTGCTCAGTTTCCAAATGTCATTGGCTTCCTTTTAAACTTTGTAACTGTAATGTTAATAATCCATTGTCTTTGATTCACAGTGATGTTTGGGGTCCATTTCATGGATCATCTACTGGTTACAAATATCATGTGTTGTTTGTTGATGATTTTAGTAAATTCACATGGATTTATCCCCTTTATAATAAAAGTGAGGTATTTTCCGAATTTATGATTTTTAAGGCCTTTGTTAAGAAATAATTTGGTCTTCCTCTTCAAATTTTATGAACTGATGGTGGAGTTGAATTTGTCAACAATTCCATGTTGAACTTTATAAGTCTCCATGGCATACTTCATCAACACTCTTGTCCTCATACTCCATCTCAAAATGGAGTTGCAGAAAGGAAGCATTTGCACATCACTGAAACAGTTATCTCTCTGATTCATCACTCTTCTTTACCTCTTACCTACTGGTTTGATGCCATAGCTACTGCCATATACCTTACAAATAGACTTCCCAGTGCTTCTCTGTCTAACTGCTCTCCTTTTGAACTTCTTTTTGAAGCCAGACCTGACTACACACATCTCAAAGTTTTTGGCTGCCTCTGTTTCCCTTGGTTAAAACCGTACTCCTTTCATAAATTAGCTCCCAAATTTACTCCTTGCATTTTTCTTGGCTATCATTCATCAGTTAAAGGGTACCGATGTCACAATTCTAAAACAGGTTCTATTTTGCTTTCTAGACGTGTCAGATTTCAAGAACATGTTTTCCCTTTTACTGCTTCTTCCACTCAGCCTACTTCCCCTCATTCTTTGTCCATCTTACAAAATTTTTTCTGACATCCTTCCCCAAATTTTTCCTTTGTTGCCTCCCAGTCTACCCACCGGCCTGCTGCTGTTGTTGCTGTTGCTAGCCTTGCTGTCCCGCAGTTTGCTCCTCCTCACCCTACTCAGCCTGCTGCATTTCAGCCTCCTGCTCAGCCCAGTTCTGCAGCCCTCCCTTCCCTTCTTACTCAGCCTACCTCTTCTCCTTCTATTCCAATTGGTTCCTTTGAGGTTGTTTTACCTCTACCTCCTCCTTCTACTAACATTCACCTCATGCAAACCAGATCCAAAAGCAAGCCTTTATGTTTTCTACCTCCCTCTCTTCTCCTTCTCTTACTGCCGATTCTTCCACTGAGCCTACTTCATATAAACATGCTCTTTTTTCTCCTGTTTGGTTCCAAGCAATGATGGATGAATACTCTGCCCTACAGCAACAGGGTACCTGGTCTCTTGTCCCTCTTCCCTCTTTTAAACAATCTATTGGCTGCAAGTGGGTGTTTAAAATCAAACGCAACTCGGATGGCACCGTTGCATGGCACAAAGCTCGCCTTGTTGCTAAGGGCTTTCTCCAAACTACCAACCACTGCCGCTGATTCTCTGCCATGCTCCCAACCTTTTCTTTATCGCAGCATTGTTGGGGCCCTTCAATATCTTACAATCACCAGACCCGAGTTGTCTTATGCTGTGAATCAAGCCTGTCAATTCATTCACTCCCCCACGGTGGGCCATTTCTTGTCCGTTAAACGCATTCTCCGCTATGTAAAGGCACATTGGCTCATGGTCTTCATTTTGTTTCTGGTCATTTTGGTTTGTAAGCATATAGTGATTCCAATTGGGCTGGGGATCCGGCTGACCGACGATCTACATCTGGCTATCGTGTCTATTTGGGCAACAATCTTATTTCCTGGTCTTCTAAAAAGCAATCGACAGTTTCTCGCTCTTCCACCGAAGCCGAATATCGCTCCTTAGCTCATACTGCCGCAGAGTTAACTTGGCTTCAAATGTTGCTTGTTGATTTCTGTATTCCTACCACCTCTCCTCCCATCTTATGGTGTGATAACCTGTCCTCTATATCTTTGGCCACCAATCCTGTGTTTCATAGCAGATCGAAACACATAGAAGTTGACTGCCATTTTGTTCGAGACAAAGTTGCAGCACACCAACTCATTCTCAAGTATGTTCCCACCACAGACCAGTTAGCCGACATTTTCACCAAGCCGCTTTCCACTTCTCGCTTCTCCTACTTGACTCGCAAACTCATGGTCTCCCCCTCGCCTATGCGCTTGACAGGGGATGATAGAGAAGGAACATCAACAGATCACAATCCAGCAGATCACAATGGAGTTATAGTTTAGTCTATGGTGTACTGTGTCACATGGGATCAAACGCTATAACAGAGTTAGTTAGAGGTGACTAGTTAGTTAGTTTGTTAAGCATTGTACCTGATATGTATATATATAGTTGTAAGTGAACTGAATGAAATAATCAAGAATATATAATATCAATAATTCTTCAATAAGAACATACGCAAGCTCTTGGTTGTTAAATCTAAACATAATGCATCAACAAGGGGATCATGGTGTGAATACATGCCTAACAAAATCTTCTGACTTCTTTATTTTTGGTTCTTCTCTCTCAAGCTTAACAACTCCACTCTTTATTTTAGTTCTCTCAACATTGAAGTGGTTTTATATTTAGAAATTCATTTCTTGTTATATTCAAAAATTCAACGAGCAAAGCATGGATTAACAAAGCCAAAATGTTGCACAAATCTAACCCGTGGCACATTATTGGATTGGAATAAGCACTTTCACATTACCAACGGTATCTCTTGGGGTTTTTTTTTTGTCTTCATCAAGATTTCAAACTCAGAATAATTCATAAAGATGTCAAAGCTAGCAATTGCTAGATGTTGACAATGGCTTCATTTGGGATGTGGGTTGGTTTTTTTTGTCTCTTTTAGTCTGGGGCTAAAAAGTCTCTTTTGGGATAGGCTTTTTTGGCTTTTTTGACTTTTGTGAGAGAAAAAATAAAGTGATTATGGTTTGGATGTGACATTTTTTAACCTAGGGCTATTTTAGCCTCAACCCAACTTTCCAGACGAGTTGCAATGAACCCAAAGATATTGGACTTTGGCATTGCTAGAAG